ATATTAGAGTGTGGAACATCAAACACACACTCTCACACACACACTCACACACACACACACACACTCTCACAATCTAGAAAATTACGTAAAAGAAAATTCATATTCGAGATATATATATATCTCCAAATATATATATATATATATATATATATATATATATATATATATATATATATATATATATATATATATATATATATATATATATATATATATATATATATATATATATATATATATATATATATATATATATATATATATATATACATAAAATCTACTAAAGCATACAAATATTACGAATCTGATGTAAATAATCATAAGGCTCCATTGCATGAATTGAATTACTCTAAGTTGACTTATACGATTTATAAGAATTGATAGAATATGATATTAAATGTTATTTTCTTGTAATGTGACAAAATTTGGAAGTCTTTTAGTACACTTTTCAGAATTTACCGTTTCTCGTAAAAAAAGAAAAACTACGAAACTGCAAAATTTCTCGCCGTCGCCACCAAATTTGAAGTGCATATACAACTATAGCTCCATCGCTCGGAAAAACCCAACCAACAATCTACGAATTCATCGAACTCAAAATTTTAAGTGCCAGTTCCTCTTGCTCCGCTAGAGTGACACTGTCGGTAACATTGCCAATTCTACTGCTACTACCCTTGCCTTTCCTTCCCTCACCACCATCACTGTCACTGTCGAAATAGAGCTTTGACTTTTTACCAACTCTCCCGTTTTCCGACTCGGATATATCATCTTCACTGTCTCTATCATCGTCTTCACTATCTCTGCCTCTCTTCAACTTCATCTTTTGCTTGATACGTTTTTCCTTGCGTCGTTTTTGGTCCAATACTTTATCGTCCTTGTCCACCACTTTCATTTCTTCCCTCAACTGTGCATACCGTTGGTTTACTGCCAAAACAGAAATCAGTACATTAACACATTATCTTTTGCTTCTACGAAGATTTTTATTCAATCTTTGGATATTTCATACAAATAGCAAAAGTCTCCACATCAGCCTATCGAACACCGGAAAAAATGAAAAGTTACCTTTGCTCTTGTCCAGCTTAGAAGAATCACTTATGGTGTCTGCTAGTCTTGCAAGAGGGGGTAACGTGTTGCCTTCGTCGTCAAATACAACCCTAGTACCAACAGGTCTGTGCATATTGATCTTCAGCTTCTTTTTCTTTAAAACCCTCGTACCGGTCCTAAACGAAGCAAATGCAGAGAAAAGAAAAAAAAACCCAAATTACTAAAAACGAGGATCAACAAATCAATCTAGCCAATAAGCAAGAACTGCAACAAGATATAGATATAACTAGGAATAATCAAATTCACGAACATAATATGTTAAACAAGAACATACATGGCGTATCCAGTATCAGTTGCATTATCATCGCCAACACGCGGAGTGTCGTTTTCTTTAAGAAGGTCATCCTCCGATTCCGATTCTTCTTCCACACGCCTGCCGTTGCTCAAACTTTGTTGTGGAATTTCGATTGGATTGTCATCAATTGTGCTATCTGGAACAATGACCAATTCTTTGGACATTTTTTGGCCCTTGATTTTACTTTTCAGAAAACGGACTTTGGGGGTCATTGGAAGACCTAACGATGCGGAATATTCATCGATCGGAAGCTGAGTGACATCAAAAACCTCCTTGTCACGCTGTTTATAGATGGACCTCATATAAGTGATGAAGGCTCTCTGAGCCAGTTGCTGCAGATTCGGGTACTTGACTAACAAAGCTGCTAGCAATCCAGAAACAGGTAGCACTTTTTTCATGTTTGCCTGTATCGAAAAAATACAAGAATAAATAATTTAGTACGACATTTTTCAGAACCAAAAAAGTTACTTCAGCGATACCAAAGTGCTATCATACAGATTTGAAAAAGGTGATCGAACCTTGATGTATCTAATAGGAATCTTTTTTTCTTGTAATTTGTCAATCATCTTTGTCTCCGAGGGTGTAAGTAATAAAATGGATTTTCCACCAGAAAGATACCGAGCAGTGCGGCCCACTCTGTGTATGTAAGAAGCAACATCTTCCGGGCAATCTACCTGTAAGTGCACAAGCAATCAAATTGATAGTTGTAAATTGGGTGAGCGGGCTGCTGATAACGATT